GGATTGGCTTCTATCTCATCTTGGGTTCTTATGAAACCTAGTAACTTATCGCCACCTAAACAATTTTTTTTGAGTCTAGCCTCATATTATGGTGGCATACCTTGTTGAAGACAGCCTGCAGGTGTGGGTCGGTTGTGTTAGCATACTTGAGAACCATCTACGTAGACCTCCATTATATTTCTTATGAGGTTGGTGATCACCTTATCCATTAGGCACTGAATATACCATATAATAATATCACACCTTATTTGATATACCAAATATTTTATAAATACGTAGTATCAAGAAATATCTAGACGTAATTAAACTACCCAAATTTGCCACAATTACTGTTAATATGTAAATATTTACTCCAATACATGTATCTTTAAATATTCAATAATCTTTTTTATGTCGATGAGGATTATTGAACCGTATTATTTAGCATATCAAATATCAAAATATTGTAGTGTTTTTTTTAGTAAAACCATCCCTCTTTAGTATTTTTTTTAGGTTATATCACAATCAACGTTTTCTTCTACCCCATTTCTACTAATTGTAGATATATATTGGACCTAACGCAAAATGGAGAAGAATTTATAAATCTCTTAAATATTTAAAGTATATTTTACCATATGTAACTTCCCAATATATCAATAGAAAACCAAACGCATAGGATAATCACATACACACACGGCTGAGGGAGAAATGAACTTACCAGTTCGGAACTGAAAGTTGTTTGATTCAAACGGACGTCCTCGACGCCAGGAATACTCAGGTGTAGTCTGTTGAATGATCGGAAGAAGAAAAGAGTAAGATTTTGTAGAGAGAAGATGAAGAAATCTAGTGAGAAGGAGGAGAAAATGGTTTCATAGATTTGGAGAAGAAGGTTGCATGCAGAGAAGTGGCACGACGTTTGAAAATTTGGCATTAACTACTGCCCTCAACCAAAGGACGAACATCCACTCTCCAGCCGCCACTTGTTTTCCATTCTTTGAAACCCGGACACTCTCCTTGACACTTGTAATCCACTCAGCTAGGGTTTTGGGTGGGTTTTAAATGGGTTCTGACATTCCCCCTAACTATAAAAATTTTCGTCCTCGAAAATTAAGACTTACCAGGAAATAGGCGAGGATTAACACCATAAGCAAAAAGGATTAACGTGAACCATTTTTGCAAAATATAGGATGTTAGTGAACTTTTGAAAAAAAGGATAACAACTTTGAACATACCATACAAATCGAGAGGGACCAAAATAGGTATTAAATCTTCAATTTAAATAGGTAATGGATTTCGATAACTTTTTATCTTTTAACTACTATTAAGTGTTCCTTTAATAGTTTATATCTAATAGACAGATTCTTTATCAAAATTTATATCTGATAGATAAATTCTTTATTAAAATCGCATAAATGACAAAATTACAAAACCTTATAAATATTAATGCATATTCATTAGAAACACAGTAAAACTAATACTCACTTTCTTACAAATAGAAAGTTTACTCTCTCTCACTTGTTGTGTACACTTGAAGGTGATGCACTATTTATGAGAAGTAACAACAATTGATTTGTAGGGTTTTTCTCGTTCCTTTGCGTTGATTTGCGAAGAAAGAAAAGCGCTGATTTGCGAGATATCACTGTTTTAACCATCTCGCTATGTTGGTAGGATTTGCGTTGATTTATATGTAAAAGTCATATATGCCCTCTAATATTTGTAAAATTCCACGAGAATATTAAGCTTTTAAATCTTATTCGATTCGAAAGTTTGATAATCGATTCCAAGCAAGAAGCATGCATAAGATAAATAAGTCATGCACTGTGGTTGTTGCGGGTTGGAGCCATGTGATTGAGTTGAAGACGAAGAAAGGGGTTCATGGATGACGAAGAAGGCGCTTGATGATGAGGAGGCAACTGGATGAAGATGGCGAAAGCTTGACGCAACGGTTGAAGAAGAGTTAAGTTGTTCTTCATGGTCGTGTATTCGGTGCCATAAAATGGCGTATCCGGTTCCAACTGTTAGAAGAAATTACAAAGCACGTGTATTCGGTTCCAGCATCGTGTATCTGGTTCTAGTGCTTACATGTGTATTCGATTCTGCACATGTTGTATTCGGTTTTACGCATGTCGTATTCGGTTCTGCGGTTTACATGGGTTTGATAATCCTCTATCAATCTAAAAATTGATCCAGCTAGAGAAAAATAGAAAATACTTTGTGCTTACAGGCAACATTCAGCAAGATGGGATTTCAATTTCGGATGAAGATGTGCACCAGCGTTTACAAAACAACATCTGTGACACTTTGAATAATACCACAGACATTCTATCGTTTTTATCTACTTTAGATGGTTGTTCAAGTAGTATTATCTAAGGTTTGTGATGAATGTTATAATCACAGAGGAGGTCAATGTCGTCTTGACGGCGATCATCAGTTCCACTGTCGCAAAGGTCAGCTTCGCATAGATTTCTTTTATGTTCCTTTATCCATTGAATGTTTCTTTTCGGTACAATGAGTTTTCTGGCAGACCACTGAAATTGTCACTAATGAAGTATAGTTTTAGACGTGGTTGCGCCTCTTTTTATTATTCTTTAAATTTTTGTTCTTGATTGACCATTTAAGTTAACAAGAGTCAAGTTATAGTTAATGATTTCCTGTTTAGCACTTCAGTGGCGAGTTGGCAAGAGTAAAGTTGATTACTGTTAACTTTTTTTTTTCTGTTTACGAGAAATCAAGAGCTAATTAATTTTAATAATTAATGTTAATTTTTTACTCTTTATAAACGTTTTTACAATTAAATATCACATTAACAAATATCATTTTATATTATATTAATAACTAGGGGCATTTTGGTAATCTTTAATTTCTACCAATTAAACAAATTTATTTTATCTGTCACATCAATAAAATCCTACATTAATTCTCATAAACTTTACTTTCAAGTTCACTCTCATTTACCTCCAAATCCACTCAAATAAACAACAATTAATTCACTCTCAAATCCTCTCAAATTCATCCACTCACTCTCCCACAGTTCCCTTTCCCAAGTGAACAAAGGCTTAGTGTTAGAGATCCTTCTGGATCTCCCCTGCTTCTCAATATTTAGGAAAATATATAGAAATTATTTCAATCTAATGCCACCGGTCGTTCCCCAAACTGGTAAACACAAATAATATATATTTGACTATATAATAATTAATTATTTTTATAAAACTTTAAATAAAAAATTTTGTTTAATATATTTGTTTCTGCATACAATTGAGTAGCGCAAGAGACACATCTTTCTTTTGCCGCTTTTTTCATTTTCTGACTTCAGATCCTATTACTCCAAGTTAAGTTCTTCAAGTCCTAATCGAGTGGGAGGGTACCTGAAAAGGCACTCCGACTCTCAAGTCAGTGACTTTGCGTGATAATAGTGATAATATTCAATAGAGAGTGAGTACTCAGAATTAGTTCAACCTGCTTGCCTTTGTGGCTTAGCCTTCTATTTATAGGCTATTTCATGGACCCTAAACTGACATAGGTCCAATAGAATGAACTTACCTTTAAATTCGGTTTGTTACTCATAAACAACTTCCTTATCCTTATCCTGTAATCAGTTATCAATATGCAATATCTTTAATCTTTGTGTTATTTATTAACCGTTTTATTTGCTCAAACCATTGGCCCAATTACAATAACTTAACCACAGGCCCAACATCAATAAGAAAGATGCTCCCTCCACCACCACTGCCTTCTTCCAGCACCTCCTCAATTTACTTTTCTTCCAAAATTATCCTTAAGTTAATTTTTCTTTTTACTTTTAAATTAACTTTTTATACTTTTAATTAAAAACCCTAATTCTATATCCTCATTCCAGCACACACCACCCCCCCCCCCTCTCTCTTCTCTTTCTCTTTTCCATTTTCGTCACCGACCACCTCCCCTCCCCTCTTCTCCTTCTCTTTCCCATTTTCATCACCCATCCTCACACCCATGCCCCCCTCCCTCTTCTCCTTTTCTTTTCCATTTTCCTCACTCACCCTCACACCCACCCTCTTCTTCTCCTTCTCCTTCTCTTTCCCTTATATGTGTGTGTGTGTGTGTAAAATGTGTGTGCTGGTATGTGAAAAAAATGAAAAAGATTCATTAACTACTAAAACCTTATTAAGAAAAAGCTGTGTTTTACTGTATATTGTCTCATGAAAAACATCGAAAAAAACTCGGTTGAAAAATTTATGACGAAGAAAACAAGATGACGGATATAGAGGCCTAAACGGATATTCATATCCATTTGGCTTGGCCTTCAACGGATGTTGGATCTTTTATTTCTGTTTATTTATTTTAACATTTTAATTATGGTAATTCAATTTTCACTTAAGGCCAATTGTGGAATGGGGTGGTGCAGGAAGAAATTTGTGGTGGTATAGGGAGAAACACCCCATCAATAATTTGAGTGCTGGCCCAATATTGATAACGTCCAACATTTAATTTATTTTGAGCATTGACAAAAGTAGCAAACCATGTTGTGGATGTTGACCATTCGGTCTATCCATATACCATACAATATTTATATTAGTTTATGCATAATCGAATAAACCTATAACTAGGCAATCCAACATATGAGTACATAATCAATTTCCTTTCAACATTTATTCAATTTCACACTTAATTTTCATTCAATTTCTTTTATTATTTACTAGTTGAAACATGCGTCAACTTTTACTTTATAATTAAAAAAATAACAAATTAATTATTATAATTATTATTAAAATAAAAATGTTATTAAATTCATAAAATATATATTCTTAAAAAATAATGCGAAAAAAAATAGATATAAAATTTGTAATGATAAAATCAAGAGTAAAATATACAAGTCAAAAAACAGTTACGGAATGGTTAGGAAAACAAAACGATATAGATTCTAGAGGTGTATTTTTCCTCTCGTCACCTTTAGAAGCGGATCCTTCACAAGACAAATCTAGTAAGAATAAATATTAACATTTGTTCCCTTTTTCAGATTCAAATTTTCAAGAGTTAATGAAATGGAGAATCACAACGAAAGGCCTAAATTGACTTTTGAGAAGTACATATGGAGGATCAACAACTTCTCTAAATTGAAATACGAACTACATAATTCCGACAGTTTTATACTCGATGGATTTCCATGGTGCCCTATTCAAATTTTCTTCACAGTTTATACTTGTAATATTATTTTCCTTTATTAGTGAGTTTTATTAAATGTTTTAACGTTGTTTTTAGGTACATGGTTAGCTGCCCAGTTGGAGGTATCTTGGGAATTTATTTACATGTCGATAAGAATTCTGCAAATTTACCAAAGGACTGGAAAAGAACTGAAAATATCAGTTTGGCTCTAATTAACCAGGTTAATGACCAGAAGACTATAAGAAAAGGTATTTTTTTTTTTTAATTTTAAAAAATCATGGTTTTTATTGCTTTAAAAATTAGGAGATTTTGGATAGAAGAATCTAATTGGTTAGTAATTTTTTCAGGATCGGAATATGAGTTTAGTGCAGATGTCCCTTTTAGCCAATATTTTATGTTTTTGAATGATTTCAATGAACCTAGCAGTGGGTTTATTGTGAATGATACTTGTATGATTGAAGCTGGGATTTTTGTGATCAAGAATGTATACGAGAATGAACTATATCATACTATACTCACGATTGATAGGAATGCTGACACCAAAAATCCTTTATTTCATGCAATGTTCATGAGATCATTTACAAATATAGATCGAAACTATGTTCCACTATTAGAAGAAGTATGTCTACAATATCCCTATCTTCTTGTAAGTCAAGAAAACAGAAGTTGCAAGTTTACTGAATGGGCATTCACAGCTTTGGGTCGACTTCTTTATTTTCTAGAGACTAAACAGGTGAAAGATATGGATAATGAAACATGTAATTATCACAAAAAAATATGGGATGAAGTTAAGATATTTGGGTTTGATTTGAGTTGGATAGAATCTGAATTTAAATCTGCCTCAAATTTGAAAAATTGTACGGAAAATACTGCTGATATAAGAAAAGTTAAGGCGATAGTGGATGATTTGGAAATTAGAACAAAGAAGCTGAAGGCAGTCATGATTGAAACACAGACAGAACTTGAAATGGTAAAAAGAAACTTGGTGAAAGCAGAAACAATAAGGATTTGAACAGCAATTTGGATGACATATTAGGATATGGAAGATCGAAGAATTTGCTCTAAAGAGCCCTTGTTTTGATGAAATGTTTTAAGAATGGTTCAAAAATTGAGATTGCTTTCAATTTTTAATATGGGGTGTATGTATTTAAGAGTGTTGCATTTTGGCAACTTTACACTTTTGTTTCTGTTTGTTTTCATTTTCATTCATTTTTTAACTTGTGAAAACCTGAATGAGACTGTCAAACTTTGTTTCAATGTACTTTCGTTTTCCATCAATCCAATTCCCACAAAACTTAAAAAATTTGAATATCTTCTTTATATAAAGAAAACCACCCACATTTTATTAGATGCACCAGAAACATAAGGAATTATTCATGACAAGTAGATGAATGACACTAGTGCAAAAGCAAAACCAAAAAATTAATTGTCATTTTCCAAAGGACCTCTAGTTGTAAAATATCCTTGCATTTCATAGTTCTAAAATGTTTTCCAAATGAGATAAGTTACTTGTGTGTTATGTGTACTATGTACCTCCCTTTCATCATCGTTCAATAGTTCAGGTAGTTTAGAAATTAAGGTTTAAATAGTTTAAATATTTTTTCCACACCGTCTTTAGTTTAATATTCCAAAACAAAAAAATTTCAAACAATACTTCAAATATAATCATTGATCTTAATAATATAACATAACATATTAGTTAAAGTAACATCTAATTTTAATTTTAATAGTATAAAACTATTAAAATAACACGTATATAGATAAGAACTTACAAAAACTTGAGGCTACTAGAGTAAGAAATCCTATCCATGACGAACCAAAGACTATTTAGCTTGTTATTTTTCTCTCTCAACCAAATGTTGAACCAACTGGAAAGATGTCCTCGAACCTAAGCTCATACCCATTAAGGTGATTATCGCAAAAGAAAACATACACAAAGACAGACAACAAAAAAAGCAAGGGAGCTAGTGGTAAAACATTTCATCATAATACAATAAAATTCCATTCTACATTATATTACACACATAATAAACATACATAATAATCATATCACAACATTAGAGTTGACTCATCCGGATATAGTATGAATGTCAAACTATGGTGGTTCCTACACTTGTGGTGGCCTCTACGGCTCTGTAGAACCCTTGCAATTGGGTTTCACCCTTACCACACACAACATTAATCCTCAAACGCCCTTTTGCCAAAGGAAGAAAAGGCCCCTCTAGCTAAGACTTCTTGCCACTCGTCATGACATAACCATATATCTCTACTTGAGTTAGGGTTATTGAGAATGTCAGGACACCAATCCAAAAAAGCTCCATACATTCATACCTTATATAAATGTATTTTAATGCCATTTTTTTAATAGTTCCCTTACAACACATATGATGTTGTCCGGGAGATCAACTGCTAAAACTAAAATGCTTGCATGGTTTTTCCTTAAGGTTTTGTCTTTTAGTCCATACTTTGTTACATTTTGTACCATTCCAGTGATGTTCCTTAACATTTTATAATTATGATGATATATTGTAGTGTAATAGACAAAGGGGGTCATATGAGTGTGGTTACTACATTATCTATTGGATGATGACAACTATTTGTGCCCATGGTACAAGTGGATGGGAAATGGTAATATTTGGTTTTATTGAATTTTTTTTCCCTATAGTTTAAAATTCATATACACTATAATTGAAATCATTGTGTCTTATGCAGAGATTCAATTCTACTACTTCAATTCCAAACAAGCCCCTTAAATTCATAAGGAAGACACTTACAAAATATGTAATTGAACTCTATAAGTATGTAGATGTTAGTATATAGTAAGTTGTACATTAGCATATTTATTATTAGGTTAACTTTGTACATTGATTTGATTTATGCTTCTGAGTTAATTTATGATTATAATTCTATGTACATTAAATTGATTTATGTTTTAATATAATTTTTATTGAAAATATATGTTTTTGGATTGTTTTGGGCTACTCTATAAAGTTGAATATATACAGGTTTGTTTTTGTAGTTGGGAATGTTGCAAAAACAAACTTGTTCTTAAAAAAACAGTAGAATACGCCTCGGTTGTGACCAAAACCGAAGTAGAAAGACCCCTATGGCATCGGTTCTAGGCACAATCGAAGCAGAAAGGCTTACAAAAAAACAAAAAAAAACACATCTACTACATCGGTTCCACCACAATCGAAGCAGAAAACCCTCCCTCTATTGCATCGGTTGTCGAACAACCAAGACAAAAACTTTGTGGAAAAAAAATAAAAAAAGGGCATCCCTCTACTGCTTCGGTTGTAATTGAACCGAGACAAAAACTCACACCTTTTTGCCTCGGTTCTTAGCCGAGGCAAAAAGTGAGCTCAATTCGGGAACCTCTGCGTATAGACGAAAATAATTGCTATCGTTTTCCTTTACTGCACTAATAATATAAGTCAGTGTGTATTTTATGAGAAATACTAAATGTATTAATAGGATTTCTAGTAGAATAAAACTAATAATGTGATATTAAACCATATAACAACTTACCTCAAATATGTGATGATATTTGATATACCAAATATTTTATAAATACTTGATATTAAGGAATATAAAGAGATAATCAAATTATCAAGATTTTTCATAAATATTATTAGTATGTAAATATTTGTTCTAAGTATCTTAAAATATTCTATAACCTTTTTGTGTCAATAAGACTTATTGAACCATGTTGAAGTGTGTTATTTAACACATCTATTGGATGAGTAGATAGTATTATCAAAATATCAAAACATTATAGTGCTTTCGTATTTTATGCATATATCTTTCATAATCATTATTCAGAGTGTTATTTTTATAAAATGTTTGCGTTATAATAAAAAAAATATAGAAAAAATATTAAAAACAATGTGGTAAACTCACAAAAATTAAATTAAAACCTTTTAAAATAAACCATGTAATAGAGGTATACTACTATTTCTAAAGTGAAAAATAAAAATTTATCAAGTTTTGAAGAAAAGTCGTATTATAATTAGAATCTAAAGAAGTTATTCATAATCTTAATTGAAATTATCATTAAAATAAATTTTATATTATTTTTTAATATTATAAATATAATATTTGAGAATGGGATCTTACACCAATTTCCAAAAGCTTGGCCTTTATAGAATCCATTGCCACCACTCAAAATCTGCAGAAGTGATTTTTTTACAAAATGACCTTTCATTTTCCTTTTTAGAAAACTGGAACATCTTTTCGGATTCTTAAATATTGGTAGTACATATTAAACTTCTAACACTTAACTTCACTTCTTACTCTTTTTTTTCAAGTTTCAATTCTATCCGTTACCTAGTCATTGAAACGAGAAGTCGCCCTATTTCCAAAATTTCAAAGTTTCAAAATTTTCTTCTCGTGAAATGTAACCATCACTTGTATTTTTTTTTCGAGAGAATATTTAATGTTATGAAATATTTCTAATATATTTATAAATGATATCTAATTATCATATTTTATAGTATTTCTAAAATATTTAAATATAATATCTTACTATAATAACTAATTATTCAATATTTTTAAGATATAGATAATGTACATGTTCGACTTAAATAGGTCAAGCGAAGTGACTCAAGAATCTATTTTGTCAGTTTTTTATTTTTTTAATTGTCATTAAGTGTCTCTTTAATTGTTTGTATCTAATAGAGAGATCTTTTATTAAAATCACATAAATGACATAAAATCATAATATCTTATAAATACTCATTTCACTTGGTAAGTATTAACATTTGTTCCGTTTTCAGATTGAAATTTGCAAGTTAATGAAATGGAGAATCACAACAAAAGGCCTAAATTGACTTTTGAGAAGTACACATGCACGATCAACAACTTCTCTAAATTCAAACACCGACTACATAGCTCCAACAAATTTATACTGAATGGTTTTCCATGGTGCTCTATTCAAATTTTCTTCACAGTTTATACTTGTAATATTATTTTCCTTTATTAGTTATTTAGTTTTATTGAGTGTTTTAACTATGCTTTTAGGTACATGGTTAGCTTCCCAGTTGGAGGTCCCTTGGAAATTTATTTACATGCTGATATGAATCGTGCAAATTTATCTGAGGACTGGAAAAGAACTGAAAATATCAGCTTGGCTCTAATTAACCAGGTTAATGACCAGAAGACTTTAAGAAAAGGTATTTTTCACACTTTTTAAATTTTAAAAAATCATTGTCATTCTTTTTTTAAAAATTAGGAGATTTTTGATAGAAGAATCTAATTGATTCGTTTTGAATGTTGAATATTTTCAGGATCGGAACATGAGTTTAGTGCATATGTCCCTTATAGCAAATTTATATTTTTCGATGATTTCAATGAACCTAGTAGTGGGTTTATTGTGAATGATACTTGTATGATTGAAGTTGGGATTTTTGTGATGAAGAATGTGTACGAGAATGAACAATATTGGACTGTACGCAAGATAGATAAGAATCCTGACACCAAAAGTCCTTTATTTCAAGAAATGTTCATGAGATCATTTCCAAATATAGATCTAAATTATGTTCCACTATTAGAAAAAGTATGTCTACAATATCCCTATCTTCTTGTAAGTCAAGAAAACAGAAGTTGCAAGTTTACTGAATGGGCATTCACAGCTTTGGGTCGACTTCTTTATTTTCTAAACACTAAACAGGTGAAAGATATGGATGATGATGAAGCATGTAATCATCTCAAAAAATTATGGGATGAAGTTGAGATATTTGGGTTTGATTTGAGTTGGTTAAAATCTGATGTTAAATCTGCCTTAAATTTGAAAAATTATACGAAAAAGACTGCTGATGTAAGAAAGGCTAAGGCAGCAGTGATTGAAAGAGAAACCGAACTTGAAAGGGCAAAGAGAGAGTTGGTGAAAGCAGAAGAAGGATTTGAAGAACGCAATTTGGATGACATATTAGGATATGGAAGATCAAAGAATTATTGGCTCTAAAGACCCTTTGTTTTGATGAAATTTTTTAACAATGGTTGAAAAACTGAGATAGTTTTCAATTTTTACATATGGGGATTGATTTTAACAATATCATTCGACTAATTTTTTTTTAAATCTCGATTAATACCATACTCAATAGTTTCGTATAGAAATAGTTTAACCTATTGAAGGAATGATTTCATATTATAATAAAAGTAAATCTTTTCTTTTTGTAAATTTGCTGAAAATCTATTAATTTTTTTTCCTAAAAAAATATATTTATTCAAAAATATATATATAACAAAATCTGTAAAATTTGAATCTGAAGTTAAAATTAGAACAAGAAATAGCCTATGAAATTAGACTTAAAATTATGTTTTGGAGACTGAAATTAAATTTAGTTTGGTTTTTCATTAGCTGATTATTATTGAAGTTATTATTTTAAAACAATTAATAACAATCGTAAAACTATAATTTTTAAATATTCTTGCAACCCGCTACAATAAAAGAAAATGTAAAGATATTAACTAAAAAGTAATAATAAGTAGAAACATTAAAAAACGACTTTAAGTTGAAAACCTTGAGAATGGGTGTTACAAAATTCACTAATATTAAATGTAAACAAAAAAGTATAAGATGTCTGAGCCCGGGTTCGAACCGGGGACCTCTAGTGTGTGAGACTAGCGTGATAACCAACTACACCACCCAGACTTCTTTGATATGAAATTATAATGTTAATTATAATTCTTTTAAAACATAATTGTTTTTTCGTGAAGAAACAAATTACTTGTGTTATGTTCTATGTGGATCTCCATCATCATTGTTATTTAGTAGAAAAACAATATAAATTAAAATATTTAAAACGATTATGTATTATAATAAAATATATTTTTTTCAGTAAGAATGCTGAAATTTTATTTTTTAGTAAAAACTTTTTATTTGCATATTAAAGAAGCATGGTATATACAAAGCCTGAAGAAAATATATGCTTTTTACGCTGAACATGAAAAAATGTTGAGTTACTAATATTTAGATCTATAAAATTAGATCATAAAAGAATCTACAAAAATATATTTAGAATTATGTTCATGAGATTCTTTTTTATTTAATTTCACCTACTGTCCACCTGAAAAATCACTTTTTTTTATTAAAAATGATTTAAATCTTTTAACAAAATCAAACACGTACATAATTAGTAAAATTAAGCTTCTTTTTAAACAATTAGTAGCAGTCGCAAAACATCACTTTTGAAATGTTTTTACCACACACAGTAATTAAAAAAATGTAATGATAATAGCTAAAATTAAAATTTATAATAACAAATTTTAATTATTCACATTTTTTATCGAGATAGTTTAAATGTGAAAAGCTAAAATTATTAAAGTATTGTATAAAGAATGATATTAACAATAATAGTCTCATTTTGAAATAACATTTTGTCAATTTGACTGCAATAGATAATAATTGACATTTATCCTACCTCCATTTTATTAATAGGTATGTAAACATAATTTATGTACAATACTCTTTAACTATTAATCTTCTACTCATTAAGGAATTTAGGTGTAATAATCCATGACTTTGAATATTTTATTCATCCTTTTATAACCCTAAAAACTAAAAAATAAAGCCTTATTTCTATATATTATATTACTTTTAAAGTACATAACATGTGAGAATATTTTGATATAATAAGTTAATAATAATAATAACTTTATATTTAGAATAACGAAGAATAATACATATTTTAAGCCGTTTTTCTTTTTTTATGAATTAAAATTGTAACATTCCAAATTTAGTAGGATTTAACTTAATAATTTAAAACATTACATGGTTAATTGCAAGCATAAATTATCATTAAGTATATAAAAATGTATTTACACATCTTTTATGAGTAAAACTTGATTTAAATTAAAAAAAAATAAAGAAATCTTCGTCAACTAAGAGGATGTATATAATATCAAAATATACTTAAGTATCATTTATATTTTATCTAATCATAAAGCAGTTTCATGGTTTATCAACCTTCCTACATGCATTATTTTCTGCTTACAGTACCATAGGTGAAAAAACCATGATATAAAAGGCAAGATAAGCTAATATGTTTTAAAAAAGGATGTATAAATAATTAAAAATGATTAAAACAAGCAATTACTCACAAATACTAACTTCATCCAATCATACATTATTATTTAGATAAACTAAAACATCTACCTCTAGAAGAATTTTTATATATATAGTCAGACTGGTATATTTGTCCCTGTTACCAGAACACCAATAACATGTTGGCTTATCAAGACATGAATCTTTTTTCCTTCATAATAACAAGGTTAGTTTGCCTATGTCAGTCAAAAATATCCATTCACTACTCTTTTCTAGGAAACATCCAAAGACTCTCACTACTAAATATCCTAGTCTATGAGTTAGGATACTTAGCATAATATGGATAATCTCCTTTAAAAGTCTCTAACAAAAAAATATACGCCCACGAATATCCGCAGATAGTTGCATTAGTGCACTAAGAGGATACTGTACCGATTACTTTTGCTTATCGACACTGGTTCTACAACCGAGACATATACCGGCGAGGTAAAAAGGGGTATGTTTTATGCCTCGGTTGTGAACTGAGTTAAAAAGAACAGGATTTATGCCTCGGTTTTTACATAACCGAGGCAGTAACTTGTTTGTTTTTTAATTTTTTTAACCTTTAGGATGTTCTTGACGTATGTTCTTATGCATAAGCAGACACCCATCTTCCACTGCCACCAGCATCATTTCACCTTCCCACTTTCAGAGCTACCAACACAACAACGCAATTCCACGTTTTCAGTGAAACAATAAGGATTCTCCACCAGCCTCTGTTCCTCTGTTCCTGGAGGTCTCAACTCTGCCGCCAATCACCCCACCGCCCCTTCCGCCCCCGGATATTCCTTCTTCTCCCGAAACATAAGTACAAAACCAAAAATCCAAAAATTCAACAGGGAACAAGCAGAAACTCCAATCAAAAATCCAAAAATTGAAATAAAAAACCTAGACGAATCGGAACAGAGAAGAGGAAGGAAGCCTCCCTCCCGCGCCCCGCCGCAAGAAAAGGAACGACCACTGCGTCCTTGCGCCTTCGCCGCGCCTTCGCCGCGCCTCCGTCTTCGGCTTGCGCGAGACCGCTGGTGGTGCTGCCCCAAAGTTGGGTCTCTCCGTAAGAAGACAATCTCGCCCCATTGTGCGTAGATCTAAACAGGGAAGAAGGATGAACACCCCTTTTCAAATCTAAACAAGAAATAAGGGCCGAACCCTTTTCGGATCTAAACTGAAGAACAGCGAAGAAGAAATGGACGGCAACAATGCGAAGAAGAAGAACCGAAGAAGCAATGGACGACAGCGACGACGAACGAAGCGAAGCGGTAGCGAAGCGGCGACGGACGAAGTGAAGCGGTAACGCTGGTGGAGGCAGCCCTTGGGAGAACAACGGCGACGCGAAGAGAAATAAGAAGCACAACGCGAGAAGAAATGAGCAAACTTTGGAATTTGAAGCACAGTGCGAAGAATATATGCTTCGGTTAGGAAAGCATCGAAGCCTAAGAGTGTTTGGACACCGTGTTTGTGCTGACTTATGCTTAAAATGAAGGCTTTATGCCTCGGTTCTGTATGAAACCGAGGTAGCATCACCTGCTCAAAAATTTGTCAACTTTTTAGACATCATTTCGGCTTCGGTTCTGCATGCAACCGAGGTCATATCTGTGTTCTGCACCGGTTTCACATACAACTGAGGCTTATAAGGTTCTGTTTATTACGAAACTGCCACCGTCTTGTGATAGGCAGCGGTTAGGTTTAAAATGGGGTATATAGTACAAGTGTAAAAGGAAAATTTGTACTAGTGTTGGTACCCGCAGATATATACTATTCACGGGTTGCGGGTAGTAAGTATTTTAATACCCGCTTATAAATGGGTCAAGTGCAGGTATTATACTATCTATACCCGCAAAAAATAAAAATAAAAATTGAATTTATATTTTATTAAGTTAAATTTAATTAAAATTAAAATTAATTTGTATTTTATAAGGTTAAATTTAATTAAAATTAAATTTTAATTTGTATTTAATTTATATTATATTTTTTATAATTTTATTTAAATTTTTTAAATATTTATAGGTATCCGTGGGTTTTAAAATACCCACGGATATTTTTTAAACAGATATTTGTGCGGATAACGAACGTGTAGCAGATAATTTTTTTTTTCGCTTCGGGTTGCGGGTATGTACTATCCGTATCTGACCCGATCCGTTGTCATCCCTAATCCCTACTCAAATATATCTAATACAAGAGTAAAATGCTTTCTCCCTTAGAAGCCTTCTCATCAACATTTACACATTCATTCATACATATACATTTAATTCCCAATAAACATAACCAAGACAATAAGCACAATAACAATAAAAAAGCCAAAAAAGAACATATCACACATAACTCATTCATTGTGTTTTCATATAAATCTTAACATCACATCATGTTATGTAATTTATCTCAATCTAAACTCATCTCATAACCTAATTCACTTACTATTTATTTCAAATCACATGTTAATAATTCATCATTCATTTTCTATATTACATTATTATGACATTCCATTACCACATTTCCATTAAATACATCAAGATGGTGAGGTATGACCAAATTAAAAAAATAACTTCAAATAAATAAATAAAATAAAATATAAAATTAAAAAAAAAACACAAATGAGATAATTTTNTAATAAGTAGAAACATTAAAAAACGACTTTAAGTTGAAAACCTTGAGAATGGGTGTCACAAAATTCACTAATATTAAATGTAAACAAAAAAGTATAAGATGTCTGAGCCCGGGTTCGAACCGGGGACCTCTAGTGTGTGAGACTAGCGTGATAACCAACTACACCACCCAGACTTCTTTGATATGAAATTATAATGTTAATTATAATTCTTTTAAAACATAATTGTTTTTTCGTGAAGAAACAAATTACTTGTGTTATGTTCTATGTGGATCTC